CAGGAAATGCAGTGGATATTCTTTACCCTTTCTTGAAGGCTACACAGTATGCCCGGAATTTTTAAATCTAAGACAAGTACTTAGAGAGAAATTTACATGAAGAAAAATCCAGGAAAAGAGAAAAACGAGCAAGGAAGAGTTAAATATTATTTTAAGTCTTTTAATTTAAATTACAATTTATGATATAGCATAAATATCTAAATAGGAATTATTAACTGGTGAATGAAATATGTTCCTAACGGTTTGAAAATTTTCTAAACATTTTGCTATAAATGTCACCCATCGAAATATAGAAGTACAACTGCATGAACTATATATAAAAGTAATGTTCTGTGCCTCAAATTGTGGGTTTAAAAAAAATGAATATATTCTCTTTTAGAGCTCGAAACGAGTTGCTCATCTTATGTGGTTATATTGGTGCATTGTTGGCTATAAGAAGACAGTACCACAGCATTGTTCCAGCACTTTATGAATACACAAGGTAAAAACATAATTTCTCTTGCTATTTTGAAATTAGAGGAATTCCTTTCACTAGGATGGATAATCTCTAAGTGGATCATAAAAGGCACCAAACACAATTAACCCGTTGCTGTCTCCATCCATTCATTCACTCAGCATGTACTTTATAATAAAGAAACAATGAACTGTATGAATTAGGAATACGTTAGGCTGTAAATAACGGGAATCCTAAAATTAGTTTAAACACATAGGTGTATTGGTTTTGCATCCCAACACACTTGAGATAGGCATTTCACGTCACAGCTGTGCCATGATTCCATCAAGGACCTAGATTCTTCCCTTCGTTCAACTCTGCCATTCGTGGTTTCTCTCCTGTTGCTTGAGTTACTCATGGTTTATAAGATAGCTGCTACCCTACCATGTATTATGTCTATATTCTAAACAGGAAAAAGAGTAAGGGTGAAAAGTAAAGACGATAAAGAGCTTTCTCCTGGCAAGGCACTGTTCAGTAAGAAAAGTCCTGCTTAAGGCTTTATGCCTGCATCTCACTGGCCAGAACTTTGTAACAATACTTTTAAAAGAATATAGAAAACTGAGTATTTTAGCTTTCCATCTCTGCAGTAGAAAAAGGCAAAAAAAGGGGGTGTTTATGCTATCAGGTAACTCGCATTTTATATTCAGATATAACCTACATTCCAAACTCTTATGTTCTAACAGTTTTCGGAACTCCAGTTGTTATGCTTAATCTTGTTATGCTCAAAAGTAAAATCCACAGTGCCTTGTTAAAAACCCATTTTCAAGCTGCTTACTAGTATAGTAACCAACCAACCAACCCGTTGCCGTCGAGTCAATTCCAACTCATAGTAGAGTAGGTGACCCTTTTAGCTCCTAAAAATGTTGGGTGTCTGTAGATCGTGGTTCTTACAATTTTTCTGAGTATCCTTTATGTGGGTCAGATAATTCTGAGAGAAGCAAAAGGGTTTTTCATCCCTAACTTCTTCTTATGTAGGTGAAGCAGTATTGCCATCTAGTGCAGATGAAGGAGTAATAGGAAGTTAATAAGGAGTCCTAGTGGCACAGTGGTTAAGCACTTGGCTACTAACCAAAAGGTCAGAGGTTTGAACTCAGTTGCTGCTCTGCAGGAGGAAAGATGTGTCGATCTGTTCCTGTAAAGATTGCAGCCTAGGAAACCCTATGGGGCAGTTCTGTTCTGTCCTGTAGGGTCACTATGAGTTGGAATCAACTCTGTGGCACAGAATAACACCAACATGGAGTCAATACTTCAGGGCAGTCAAGGAAAAGTCTTCTACACAGGCAGTATAACCAAAATTTGAAAGAAAGTAACTTTAAAAAAAAATCATTTCGTATCCTGCCAAGGCAGTACATCGTTTTATTTCTTGACTGGTTCCATGGGTGTTGATTGATTGTGGGTCCAAGTAAAATGGAATCCTTGACAACTTCAGTATTTTCTGTTTATTACAATGTTGCTTATTGATTCGGTTGTAAGGATTTTTGTCTTCTTTATGTTGAGGTATAATCCATAGTGATCTTCATCAGTAAGTGCTTCAAGTCCTCTTCACTCTAAGCAAGCAGGGTTGTGTCATCTGCATATTGCAGGTTGTTAATGAGTCTTCCTCCAATCCTGTTGCCATGTTCTTCTTTATATAGTCTAGCTTCTTGGATTATTTGCTCAGCATACAGGTTGAATAAGTATGGTGAAAGAATACAATCCTGACACACACCTTTCCTGATTTTAAACCATGCAGTGTCCCCTTGTTCTGCTTGAATGACTGCATCTTGGTCTATGCAGAGGTTTCACCATCCTAGTGGGTGTGAAGTGGTGCTTTTGATTTGCATCACCCCGATGACTGATGTTGAGTATCTTACCATGTTATTATTGGCCATTTGTTTATCTTCTTTAGAGATGTCTATTCATGTCCTTTGTCCATTTTTTAATAGGATTGCTTGTCTTTTTGTTGTAGAGTTGTAGGAGTTCTTTATATATTCTGGATATTAAACTTTTATCAAATATATGATTTGTAATTTTTTTTCTTCCATTCTCTAGGTTGTTTTTCACTTTCTTGTAATGTCCTTTGATGCATCAAAACGAAAACCAAACCCTCTGGTGTCGAGTCAGTTTTGACTCATGACGGCCCTAGGTGTGTAGAGTAGAACTGCACTCCAGAGGGTTTACAAGGCTGTGACCTTTCAGAAGCAGATCACCAGGCCTTTCTTTCGAGGTGTCTCTGGGTGGGTTAGATCCACTAACTTTTCGGTTAGTCAAGCACTTAACCATTTGTGCCACCCAGGACTCCTCCTTTGATGCACCAAAGTTTATGATTAAGTTAGAGTAGAACTGTGCTCTATGGAATTTTAAAGGCTGTGAGCTTTCAGAAGCAGATTGCCAGGACTGTCTTACTAGGTGCTTATGGGTGGCTTCGAACCATCAACTTTTTGGGTGGTAATGGAGCACTTAACCGTTCTCACCACCCAAACCTGAAAATCCATTGCCATCGAGTTGATTCTGACTCATAGTGATCCTATATGAGTTGTACCACCCAGGGACCATTTTATTCCCTTACTGGCCTCTATTTCAGTTATCTCTGCTCCAATCTTTATTAGTTCCTTCCTTTTGCTAGCTTTGGGTTTAGTTTGCCCTGCTTCTTCTCGTTCATAGCCTAGGTGTAGTTAGGCTATTGATTTGAAATATTCTTTTTGAATGTAGGCATTTTCAGCTATAAATTTCCTTCTGTGTATTGTCTTTGCTGCATCCCATAAGTTCTGGTATATTGTGTTTTTGATTTTCATTTGTCTCTAAATATTTTCTAATTTCTATTGTTTCTTCTTTGACCCATTGGTTGCTTAAGAGTATCTTGTTTAATTTCCACATATTTGTGAATTTTCTGGTTTTCCTTTTGTTCTTGATTTCTAGCTTCATTCCATTGTGGTCAGAAAATCATCCTTTGTATGATTTCAGACTTTTGAAATTTATTTAGACTTGATTTGTGGTCTGACATATCCTAGAGAAGGATCCATGTGTACTTGAAAAGAATGTATGTTCTTCTGTTTTTGGGTGGAGTGTTCTGTATGTGTCTGTGAAGTCTGATTGGTTTACAGTATTATTCAAGTCTTATATTTCCTTATTGATCTCCTGTTTACAAATTCTATCCATTATTAAAAGTGGTATATTGAGTCTCCAACTATTATTGTAGAACTTCAGAAGTAACTTTAAACAATATTAAAGTAAATTATAGGAACAACATGATGTAGTTAACAATAATATTTAATGGAATATGTTCAGCCTTATATAACTTCAGTAATTATGAAAGTAAAGAGAGAGAGATGATCACTTGACATAATATCAAGAACCAAAAGAAGGTTTTTATTTGTAAATTAGGAGAGAAGTTTAAGAACTCCCTAACTGTAAAAAAACTTCTATTATTTCTCTAACAATTCTGTCTTTGTTGTCTTGCTGCTGGTGTTTCACTTACCTACTACATATGTTATCACCCATTTTTGTCTTT